ATCTGCTTTTTTAATTAAATGTTTGCTTCTTCTAATAATAAACAATACCCGGTCACATCTCCTTGTGTTTTTTCAATATGAATACTTATGTTCACTCCTGTTTTGAAAAGATCTTCTTAGTGAGCTGATAGATCAAAACAGAAGATTGGATGATTAAGTGCAAAATATACATATTCAAACTGAGGTGGATTTCCAAATAATTCACACATGTTTTGTGGTTGGATTAATTGTTAAAGGTTGGTTAGGATAAATATCGTTGTTTAATCTTACTTGAACTTTATGGATTATAGGATCTTGAGTTTGGTTCGTTGCTACTCTAAAGATATTATTGTTATTCGTTTGAGAATCTGGTAAGATCTTGAAACCAATCATTAAATATCTTGCTGGTTTAATAGTGTTAGTGATTGGCCATGTGGTGGATTCTCCAGTTAAAGCCATGCTACCTACCGTATTACGATGAAGAAAAGCTATTTCAATATCTTTAGTTAACGAGTTGAATATTTTCGTTTCTACTTCAATTGATGGTGTTATTACGGGTATGAAAAGTTGGAGATTCGTTATTTCTAATTTTGCATTTGAACCATTCTCTCCAAAGAATATCTTATCATCGTTGATTTCTCTTTGTAGATGAATTTTATATGGTAACCCTATGGAAACTTTTCTATGTTCCAACAGACCGAATAAAGGATATAATTTCCAATTTACGTAATTACCCCACCTATTATTCTCAACAACATTATTATACTGAAGCACTCGTTTTTCGAATCCATGATTAGCTGCTCGTGCTACTCTTTCCATTGTGTTTCGAGCAACAACTCTCACTCTAGCTAAATCAGCATCATTTGCAAGGTTTCTTACCGGTTCTTTTAAAACACTTCCATCGCCAACATCGGGTATCCAACCTGAGACTGAATAGAAATCTTTAGGATATAAAACTGTTTTCAACATTGTGTCGAATTCCCCAGGGTGTTTAATTGTTTCTATTGGATTTGAACCAGCTTCCAAAACCATCTCGATAAATAAAGATGGAAAGAAATTGTTTTCTAACGTTGTAATAGTTTGTGGTTCACGATTTTCATTGGGAGTTCCATCTTTAATTTTGAAATCGCATCTGAAATAAGCAACGGAAAGAAGCAACCAATTCGATAATGAATTTATTTCGAAGGTAATTCTACCACCATTATTCAACTGGGATTTAGAACCAACAGTTGGTGAGATATAATCTTCCTCTATTTTTTTGTTAAGAAAGAAAAGATTTGATCTAGTATTTTATTTGCCATTTTTAAGGTTTAGAAATTGAGTAGAAAATTGTGGTCTGTTTTTTTTCCAAAAAAAGAGTTATCTTCCTTCTAGAAGTTTCTAGACTAAAAATAACATTATTAAAAACGAGGATTAAAAAACCGGATGTTAAGCGAAACAAGGAAGTTATTTTATATAAGGGTATTTTTAATGTGCTTTTTTGATGGAATGTAGGAATTGACTGATGGTGTTTTTAGGTGTAAGAATTTATGAAATGTAGGGGACCTTTCAATATGGTCGCACTTTCCCCATGGAATGAAATGAAATGGGGAATCCCCTTGCGACAATATTGAAATGTCTTATACTACTGAGATATATATAGAAAAGACATGTATAGAAACAGCAACTGAAATTCCTAGTGTTCAGGTGAAATGAGAATTTAACTCATAGAAATTACGTTAAGTTCAATTAATCAATTAAGTTCTTGTTTAAGGCTGTCACGGGCCTATTGGTATAAACGTTCGGATACTTTTTTTGCATACTTTTGTAATGATTTTTGACATAGTGTGAGGTATTATTGAAGACATTTTCTGTACATTTCCAGTACTTCTGAAGACTTTTTCCATATTTTTAAGAACCAAATCCAACCCACAAAGTTGTGAATCTGTCCCTTAAAAGTAGGAGGAGTTCATACCAGCTGGGCGCTACAGAATCGATCTCCAGTCTCCATCCTTGTATTGCTGGAGATGAAATATTTCTTGTTTTGGAATGATGGAAAATGCTTGTTACAAACCCCAAATGTGTAAAAAAAAAAAAAAAGACAAATCTTTAAACTGATAATTTTATTCAAATCGTCAA